GGGTGTGTATGTATCCTTGGTAGCCAAAATGTGTCTGTAGGTTTAAGGGTGTGTATGTGTCCTTGGTAGCGGAAATGTGTCTGTAGGTGTAGGGTTGTGTATCCTTGGTAGCGGAAATGTGTCTGTAGATGTACGGGTGTGTATGTATCCTTGGTAGCCAAAATGTGTCTGTAGGTTTAAGGGTGTGTATGTGTCCTTGGTAGCGGAAATGTGTCTGTAGGTTTAGGGGTGTGTATTTATCCTTGGTAGCGGAAATGTGTCTGTAGGTGTAGGGGTGTGTATGTATTCATGGTAGCGGAAATGGGTCTGTAGGTGTACGGGTGTGTATGTATCCTTGGTAGCGGAAAGGTGTCTGTAGGTGTAGGAGTGTGTATGTGTCCTTGGTAGCGGAATTGTGTCTGTAGGTGTACGGGTGTGTATGTTACCTTGGCAGCGGAAATGTGTCTGTAGGTGTAGGGGTGTGTATGGATCCTTGGTAGCGGAAATGTGTCTGTAGGTGTAAGGGTGTGTATGTATCCTTGGTAGAGGAAATGTGTCTGTAGGTGTAGGGGTGTGTATGTATTCATGGTAGCGGAAATGGGTCTGTAGGTGTACGGGTGTGTATGTATCCTTGGTAGAGGAAAGGTGTCTGTAGGTGTAGGAGTGTGTATGTGTCCTTGGTAGCGGAATTGTATCTGTAGGTGTACGGGTGTGTATGTTACCTTGGTAGCGTAAATGTGTCTGTAGGTGTAGGGGAGTGTATGTGTCCTTGGTAGCGGAAATGTGTCTGCAGGTGTAGGGGTGTGTATGTGTCCTTGGTAGCGGAATTGTGTCTGTAGGTGTACGTGTGTGTATGTTACCTTGGTAGCGGAAATGTGTCTGTACGTGTAGGGGTGTGTATGTGTCCTTGGTAGCGGAATTGTGTCTGTAGGTGTACGGGGGTGTATGTTACCTTGGTAGCGGAAATGTGTCTGTGGGTGTAGGGGTGTGTATGTGTCCTTGGTAGCGGAATTGTGTCGGTAGGTGTACGGGTGTGTATGTTACCTTGGTAGCGGAAATGTGTCTGTACGTGTAGGGGTGTGTATGTGTCCTTGGTAGCGGAAGTGTGTCTGTAGGTGTACGGGTGTGTATGTTACCTTGGCAGCGGAAATGTGTCTGTAGGTGTAGGGGTGTGTATGTATTCATGGTAGCGGAAATGTGTCTGTAGGTGTACGGGTATGTATGTGTCCTTGGTAGCGGAAATGTGTCTGTAGGTGTACTGGTGTGTGTGTATCCTTGGTAGCGGAAATGTCTCTGTAGGTGTAGGGGTGTGTATGTATCCTTGGAAGCGAAAATGTGTCTGTAGGTGTAAGGGTGTGTATGTATCCTTGGTAGAGGAAATGTGTCTGTAGGTGTACGGGTATGTATGTGTCCTTGGTAGCGGAAATGTGTCTGTAGGTGTACGGGTGTGTATGTATCCTTGGTAGCGGAAATGTGTCTGTAGGTGTAGGGGTGTGTGTCCTTGGTAGCGGAAAAGTGTCTGTAGGTGTAGGGATGAGCAGGTCTTGTTTTGGGTGTTTTGGTATGATGATGGTGCTCGGGTGTATTGCAACATGATGGTATAACTTGTTGTAGAATAGCATACGTTTGTTGTAGTCAGCGTGGTTTTAGTGAGGATCAGCTTAGTACACTTATGTGCTGTGGTACATGTTGTGAACGTATCTGCTGCTATGTATACGTTGTATTTGGTTAATGTAATGTGTTATATAGGTCTAATATGGAAGAGCAGTATTCTTTTCATACATGTTCTTATACATTATAAAGGTTTCTTTTCGATCCAAGTGCTTTGTTTGCATTGCAGGTGGTGTTGTTAATGTGGATGTCCCATTTGAAAGTACTTTGGGATATTACACCCCAGTATTTACTAGAATCTCAGACTTGGTATAATGGGTGGTTGTGAAGTTCGTGTTATCAGTTTGCCTATTGTTTGATGTGAAGATCATTTACACTAGTATGGGTGAAGTTGCATAAGCATGTTATGTTCCGATTTTCCTGCTGAGCTTATGTCATGTAATTTGATTGTATCTTTTCTATTGTTTAATGTTTTGTATAGTGTCGCCTGCAAAGAGTGTGAGGGAGCTGTGTTTTCTGTATTCGGGTAGGTCTTTGATGTATATGAGGAATAAGATGGGATCTAAGCCAGTGCCTTGATGCACAGCTGATGCAACGAGGCATTTGTTAGCCGTACATTAAACATAAGTATATAGACAGCAATAAAACCATATCGCCAAATGAACATGTTCAGTGTATAGTATACATAACCTTATTAAATAGAGATTTGATGGAGATAGTGTACAGATAGCGACGTTTTAGACACCAGTTGATTTGTTAGTCCTGTATTTCAGTGGGCGGATCAACATATAGTATATACATATACAAAGACCTGACGCATTGGACCTATGGTTATTATCAGTCAAACACGCCAGGAAAAAAAATGAGTTAAACTGAAGAGAAAATTGTTGGGAATACACGATGCTATATAATTTCCGCAGAGCAACTGGTGTGTATATTTAGCAGTTTGACCTGTCCTCGAACTCTTCGGCTCAATCGAGTGAAAATTCGAAGCCTATTTACACGACAAAGGTGGTCTATCTATACCCGTACAGGTAGGGCGCTAATACATACACACGTACTAATTGTAAGCCGTCCATGGGGCTATTTAAATTTTAAGCCAAGCCACAAATTCTTCCACACACATTGACTATACTATAGGTATACCAGTGACCGTGTGGTGGTATCTCCAACGTCGGCTAACTCCTCACCAGAAGAAACTGTGAAAGATAAAGAATGTGTTACCTGGCTAGGTAAGCACCGCAGGTCACGAAACACTACTGTCGTTCACGCATCGGCGGTGAAGCGGGTTCCCTACTCACCTCAGTATAATGTGTGTGTAGGTAGGGCGTGTCGCTCGCTGTATACACATGTCAAGTCAGAATCTCAATCTGAATTTCGAAACCTCGTCAGTCACGGTGTGACTGACGAGTCAGTGTCCACCACCCGGAACTCGGACGAACACCTGTAACATTTCAGACGTCCAGGACAACTCCAACCATGGCTAGCTGGCCAGGGATTATGCTGGCAGCTGCAACTTTAACTTTCATCGGATTGTTTTTTCAAGTGGGCGGTTTTGTGCTGCCGTGGTGGTTTGTTATAGGGGATGGTGTGTACATTGGAGTGTGGTATATGTTGAACTGTAAGAGTGGGATCGTCTCTGTCCGTAATTGTTCCGTGTATAGCTACAGAGAAGACAGCATCGTCACTGAATACAACGCTACCGCTATAGGTAAGACCGATAGCGCCTTCATATGATACAGTATAAGGCACACGAAACGTCATCTGTGCAAGTGAATAACGGTCTAAACTCAGCTGTGTTTGGTCATTTATTCGAATTGTAATGTATGACATCACCTGAATAGCAAGAGAGTTATGCTACAAGTAAATTGCCTCTACCAAATGTAGTTTAGATGTAAACATTCAAATTACGCATGCGCGACCACTTACTGATCAATATGAAACTGGCTATTAATCTTGTCGGTTTGTTGATCTCCGGAGGGGATAAACTTGATTAAAACGTATCCAGTGTCAACTGCTCTGCAGAAGTCTGCTTCAGATTAAAACACGTCATTTACCTGTTAGCTTGATGGTGTATTGAATATCATGGCATTGGAACACGCACCCATTCATACATCAGTGTAATAAAACGAAAGCGGTTAGACTCACAATGAAGGATTCTCTGAACGTAACACCCTAGTAGCACTGTCATTCATACATACCAAATACATACGGTAACAGTGGTTGATTTTTAAAATGTGGAAAATAAAAATACACATTTTTTTTGTGTACACTTAGAACTTAAAGATGCATGGTGGGATGTATTGCCGTTAAATTATGCAACATAAAATCGTCTTCTATATTTAGGAAAACAAAAGAACGTGCTCCTGTGAACGGAGAAAAAAGTTCTGTAACAATATTATATGACACGAAATAGAAAGTGTAACAGCGTGCTGTGTGGAGCCTCCATACAGTCTACAAAGTGTGAACAATCTCACGTGACGAGTAAAACCATTGGCTTAACAGCATTATAAATGCCTTTTTACGAATGCAGTTTAAATAGTATATGTATCTCTGATAACAGGCAATGTTTGTTATATAAAAATACACGATTAACAGCGATTCGGAAACAACACCTTAGTAATTATATACAATAACCACACGGTTTTCAACAGCAATCATATTTTACATACATGTAGGATAAGAACAGAGGTAAGTTAATTGTTCGTGTAAATGATTTAATACCGTTTCAGGGTATACTAAATGTATTTCAGTGATTTTCCGTGTAAATGATTTAATACCGTTTCAGGGTATACTAAATGTATTTCAGTGATTTTTGGACACGGATATTGATGTCCTCGACACGTGCTGTTAATCACTCAGAAATGGGACTCATAAACAATTTAAATTGCTGTTTAAGACTCTCTTGAACAAAAATACAAAAATCACTTTTTTTAAAAGGTAAGTACAAGTGTGTATGGAGCTCGCTCCAATAACTCGATGTTAAATGGTTCATTTTATGAGGAGACACATCGGATTAATGTGTGTATTATATATTTTGTATCTTTTTGCATTTACATGTATGATGGAATTAATTGATCCGAAAAAGAACAAATATATAGAGGATATTATTCAAGTCAGTGGGAGTTTGTACGTAGGCGGGTGGGTAACGTGTACCTACGCATATACGTCAAACCTCTGATAACATCACTACTGCCAGTCACGAATACCTGTCAGAGCGAAATTGAAAATGGTCAAGAGTCTCGATGGTATCAACATTTTATCAGTTCAGGTCATCTTGATGTCGTTATTCTATGGTCAGTTCGGCCTGGCCAAGGGCAATTACGACGACTAATACACACGCCTACAAAATAGTAGACTAGACATATATGTATTTCCATAGAAACTCCAGTATTACGATTTGTCAATTTAGCTAAGTATTCGTTTATGTTATCGCACGTTACAGTAGAGAGCACAGCTAGGGTCAGTTAACATGACGACCACTGAAGAGAGTATATCCATTGTGTCTAGTCCCCACACTTTCGCTAATTTCTGTCGGGTGAAGGTCTTTTATAATTTCTCTGTTCAGTTAACTAATATACAGGGTTAACCGTTACATGATCATGTCAAGTGTGTGTCGGTTTGGTATAGGGCGTACACTGTATGAAGACAGGACGTACAATGTACATGACGTAGCTAAGTGTGACATGTTTGGTGTAGGGTGTACACTGTATGACGGCAGGACGTACAATGTACATGACGTAGCTAAGTGTTTGGTGGAGGGTGTACACTGTATGAGGGCAGGACGTACAATGTACATGACGTAGCTAAGTGTGACGTGTTTGGTGTATGGCGTACACTGTATGACGACAGGACGTACAATGTACATGACGTAGCTAAGTGTGACGTGTTTGGTGTATGGCGTACACTGTATGAAGGCAGGACGTACAATGTACATGACGTAGCTAAGTGTTTGGTGGAGGGTGTACACTGTATGGGGGCAGGACGTACAATGTACATGACGTAGCTAAGTATGACATGTTTGGTGTATGGCGTACACTGTATGACGACAGGACGTACACTGTAGATGACGTATCTATGTGTTTGGTGTAGGGCGTACAATGTACGAGGGCAGGACGTACAATGTACATGGCGTAGCTAAGTGTGACATGTTTGGTGTATGACGTACACTGTATGACGACAGGACGTACAATGTACATGGCGTAGCTAAGTGTAACGTGTTTGGTGTAGGGCGTACACTATATGACGACAGGACGTACAATGTACATGACGTAGCTAAGTGTGACATGTTTGGTGTATGACGTACACAGTATGACGACAGGACGTACAATGTACATGACGTAGCTAAGTATGACATGTTTGGTGTATGGCGTATACTGTATGACGACAGGACGTACACTGTAGATGACGTATCTAAGTGTTTGGTGTAGGGCGTCCAATGTACGAGGGCAGGACGTACAATGTACATGGCGTAGCTAAGTGTAACGTGTTTGGTGTATGACGTACACTATACGAGGACAGGACGTACAATGTTCATAACATAGCTAAATGTAACATGTTTGGTGTATGGCGTACACTGTATGACGGCAGGACGTACAATGTACATGACGTAGCTAAGTGTGACATGTTTGGTGTAGGGTGTACACTGTATGACGGCAGGACGTACAATGTACATGGCGTAGCTAAGTGTAACATGAAGTACATTTCGTGTAGTTAGTGTAGATGTGTTTTGATGTGTAAATATGCGGGATGTGCAGTATAGATTAAGTCGTGAAATGGAGTGTGGTGTAAACACGATGTGTTGAACACAGTGTATGTTGTATGGTGTAAACAATATGGTAAACAGTAAACATATGTTTTTAACACTGAGCCTTCACAAAGGACTAGAGACTTGTTCCACTTGTTAAGTCAGTCCAGTTGGGATTCACATACTGCTGACCAAACAAGATGGCCTTACCCAATGTCTGATCAAAATATTAACACCTATGATTTGGTCAATATTGACACGTGTTCTCTGTACTGTAGATATACGGGTGAGTCGACAAGAACCTACAAACCTCCGAGATAGGCGGACACGCCCTTATTACCGTGTATACACTTGTCACGAAATTCCGAATGGACATTTAACCCCTCTATATATATATCTGTGTGTACTATGGTGTTCCCGCCTATAGATCGAAGTTTATTTTAAACTTCCAGGGGTTTATTTGTCACCGTGATAATTCTATAGAGATAGAAAAGAATGACAAACAAACACAATTCGACACATTGCTACTGGACCATTTGTTATATTTTACATTTATTAATTTCGGTGATGTAGATTATAATGACTCGGTTCCCAACGATACTGACGAACGCAACATGTATATTGTCGTGTACACAGTATGAGCATATAGGCCTAGAGATTACAAGCTCTGTTGCATTTAACAAAAAGTCAGAATGTCCCACGGCTACTTTTTCGGTGTCGCAATGACCTTTATGATACTCGTGTAATCGGATTGGTGGAGACACATTATTTCACATTCACATTCACTGTAACATTGAGTCAATGGCTGGGCGTTTCTCAACCCAATTTTATTGAAATTCAAGAAAGTAATTTGTAGTTTTCGTTTGTCTGCGCTCTGTTTAACAATTGAAACAGGAAGATACAATAAGCAGGCTGTTTCTAACCGTATATACATGTACCCAATATGTACTACTGAATTAGACGATGAATATCATTTTGTTTTCATTTGTAAAGAATATGATTTCCTCCGACAAAAACTATTTAAACCTTATTACCGATGCAAGCCATCCATGTATAAACTTTTGAAAATAATTAGTACAGAAAGCGTTACAGAACTGTATAATTTTAAAAAAAAATGTGTAAAGCTTTTGAAATTAGGTCACATCTCTTGTTTATGAAATGAGTGAATATACCTATAAGCGTATGACTTGAACTTGACTTTGTATGACATTGTATTGTGCATATTACATGTAATGTAATATCAATAAGCTGTATTGCTTACGATAATAAAAGAATTGAAAAAATTGAACCCCCTAGCAACGAGTGACAATGTGTGCTGCAGTGTGTGTGACAGTGCTACAAATAGTGGTCACCCCTCGGAGATCACTCTCATCCAGGGCGATTACTATTTCTGTGTTCCAGTGTCCCATTTATAGCTATTATTATCTGTGTTCCAGTAATTATTATCTGTGTTACATTGTGAAATATTTTGAGTCATTAATTCGGTGTTACAGTGTCCCAGGACTACTACACGGGTCTCCAGGTATGCACCACTGTGGCGCTAGGACTTCTGCTGATCGTTGCACTTGGATTTATCTGCGGAGGCTGTAATTACTGCAGAGCCAAGTCCGGCTATGTCTGGGGATGTATCTTCCTTTTCCTCTCAGGTAAATCATAATCTTCTTCTGATAAATCAAAGCTTAAGACAGGTAAATCACATTTCTCTGGTCAGGTAAATAACATTTCTGGTGATGTAAATTACATCTCTGGTCAGTTCAATAGCATATCTGGTCAGTTAAATAACATCTCTGGTCAGGAAAACAACATCTCTGGTCAGGAAAACAACATCTCTGGTCAACATCTCTGGTCAGTTAAATAACATCTCTGGTCAGGTAAATAACATCTCTGGTCAGTTCAATAAAATCTCTGGTCAGGTAAATCACATTTCTCTGGTCAGGTAAATAACATCTCTGGTCAGGTAAATCATATCTCTGGTCAGGTAAATAACATCTCTGGTCAGTTAAATAACATCTCTGATCAGGTAAATCACATTTTTGTTCAAATGAATAAACTTTTCATGTAAATTTTAAAACGTAAGATAAATCTCGTCATGACCACGATGATGATGATGATGGATGTCTCTATTTTAGGGATCCTGATGTTGACCTCCCTTGGTTTGTTTTCATGGATATACGTTGACACCCTTACAAACTTACCAAGCTACCATTTGGACGGCCGCTCGTTTCCGTGGGGCGTGGTGTCAGCTGGCCTCGGGGCTCTGTTTGCTCTCTTCGCTGGCATTGTGTTAGCCGTACTGTTGTGTCGTTGGGAGTACCATATGTACGACGATGACGATGACGACGACTACGACCGTGGACAACGACGTGTACCTATGTCGCAAATAGATCACAAACGTGGTTACGATCGCACCGGCTACCAAAACCACGCGTACCCGGCATCCGGGAGCGCGTACGATAAACCAGCACCCCAACACTACTACTACGGCAGTTCACACCGGTCCAACCAGTCCGCGAGTACTCCACAGTACGTCCAGGCCGCCACTCCCTACCGCCAGACTGCAAACATGTACAGACCTATTGCGGCCTCCACCCGGCGGGACCGCTACTGAACATTTATATAGTTTAATGAATTATTCTAATTTGACCACTTCTACATGCATAGAGCTTGAAAAAGACTACTATAAAATATTTAACGTCTAGGCTATCTAGTAGTTCCTTGTTCTACGGGGGATTTACCAGCCCCATATAACAAGCTCAAACGTACGTCGCCTAGCTCTGTACATCGGTAGTAGTCTCTGGCGGATCGCCGTGATAACATAAAGTTGCCAGCATTCGGTTATGTAGCATTACGATTTTAAATATTATATTTTTACTATTAAGCTTTAGTATAAACATAACTCATCATATCATTGTTAATCATACATTGATCTCACTGAATATTATTTGACCTATTTTTGGAGTCTGTTTTGCTTTGTTCATCATAAAAAAAGACTAGTAAAATGGATTTTCGTGGTGCGTCATGCATGCCACTTTCCACATCATGTCGCGCTGTATTTACAAACGTTGATTTTGAATATTCATCACCCCGATGCGTCTATGAAAAGTGTTTTTCAGAATGAAAATTGACGGCTACCAAATTTGTTAAGCAATCCAGAAGAGAGTTTGTGGAGAGGGAGTAAGCGGTAGGGGTGAGCAGGAATTGGGGGATGGGGCCCGGTATCTCTGGCCCAGCTTAACGGTCAGCTATCTCCGCGAACACGGAATAAAACATAAATGTATGTGTATCATCACGGAATTATGTACGAACTGCTGAAGGGTTGCCTACCTGTAATGTATTGATTCATTTTATGGACCCAAAAGGAGATAGATTGATTGTTGGTAAGGTACCTACCGTCAAGTTAACCATATTAATACCATCGTCACTATTGTGTAATTTCCATACCATAACACGTTGCCATGTATTTATAGAATTATAGCTGTTCGACATTTTTCAAAGCTTACACTTGATCAATGTTACGAGTCTCCAATTTGTGTGCTGCACAGCAAATGAAAATGTTTGACGGGGGCGGGGGGCACACTCCAAGTCAGAAAAACACTGAGCGGAACTCTTCTTCGGTTTTTTTAACTCATGCAGTGGTACACTTCTCCTTAAGGTTTTGAGAGAAAACTGTGTTATTTCACAACAGTGGAGAGACTGTTGAGCATTCATCTGTGGGACGTGCACTGAACAATAATGACTGCCAGTATACAACAACAACATATTTAAGTGTCAACCGTAATGTGAGCTCAAAATCGACACAACTAGGGTACATATAAACAAACAAAAATGACTAATAAAAGATATATTTGAAAAAAAACACAAGGGAAAAACAAGAATAAGTCCAGGTGTACCGGAAGAATATGCGTCTACGGCGACATTCGCCGTGTAAATCTAGGTAAAATCCCAGTAATGTCACGTCCCCGTACCGAGAACTAGGGAAGGTGACAACATAACTTCTAGGCAGACTATTGAGCATAATAAAAACAATATCGACCTTTCATATCACACAAAGAAATGGCTAAAAAGAAAGGGGAAATTCATGATCGGGTAAATCGAAATCGTCCGCTGATCGTACGGCTCAGTTTTAAGCCGTGCCTGTTAGTCAATACCGAGGAAAGTAGCTGAAGTAGAAGAGTCGGTATTGTCATTGATTTCAAGCTCAGGAGGGTATATACGATTGTCAGGGTCATTAGACGTCTTATTATTCAAAACAAATATCGTTGATGAATGTGAAATTAAGACTAAGGTTTGTTTTTTGTTATCAGTTCCGATGAATTCATCAATAAATTACGCATCATATAAAAAAACAAAAGCAAGTCGGCCATAACAGGGGCGCAGTTTTTTCATAATAATGCCGACAGTCTACTAGAAACTTTGCAATATAACCCACGAAAGTTATTGTCACCAAGAACTCGATCATTTTAACAATTTCGCCCTCAGTTTATTTTATTCTTGACCTTGTTCCGACTTTTACAAAATGTGCTCAAAAATAGTATCTTACCATATATTTATATCGCCGTTCGCCTTTCTTGGAAAAGATACATTTTTGGGAGGGGTTGCCCGAGATCTTATGCATTCTTCAAAATCTACATTCCATTAACTCCACTTCGGGAGTATACAGTGTCATAATATGGCTGAAACCCTGAATTAACACAATCGTACTAAGAATGTTGGTAGTATTTTGGATACTTGCTTGGTTGAGCAACTAAAACAACTAGCGGTTAAACTTTCGGAAAGATTGTATAACAGAAGCGTGATTAGCTAGTACATTTGTATTTGGTCTGTTTGAAAAATGGAAATTACGATAGAGTTTCTTCGGTATAAACCAATGATGCAGACAAAGATACATACACACAAATTTATTTTGTCTGTAGACACAAAAACACACTTATCGTGAAGATTGTTGGGTGTAGTTTTGAGATCGGGGTTCCATTTTAGATTTCACACAGCTACTGCTTATTTGAATGGTGAACTGATATGTTTGACATAGTTAACAGTGAAACCAGTTCGGCAAGTCCTCGTTTTGCCAGTTGTCTGGCGTAGTCTTCCGCGGAACCATTCAGTACCTTGAAATTAATTAAACATTTAATAGCAGGTGTCTCTCGATAACAAGAACCCTCTTATAGTAAAATTCGTACAGAAAGAATAAACGAATACAGTATAGTTCGAACAAGGTGAACAGCCAATGGTTTCTTTATAGTTTCAATCAGGTTTTTAAACGTAACATTGTATTCGGTTAGACTTTTGTGATGTCGATATCAATGGCTGCGAAGACAATACATTAATATGACTTCACTCTGTACTTTACCCTACATAATCGTCATGGTCGTTTTATCTGTATGACACATCAGTGACAGGAAGTCTTATGTAGTTTCTCTCGTTACCTGCAGGATACTGATTCTTTCCATGGATCTCTACAGAAAAATGTCCATTAGCAGTATTCGTTGAGGTAAATGTCTTTTTGTTTCACCAACATGTATAAAACACAGATAACCCTCGATACAATAGACGCCATTGGAGTTTTAACAATTCAGAGGTTCTAAGCTTCTGTTGGAATTTCGTTTGTCCGTGAAGGGACTATTGGAGGTCTTATTAGTAATAAGTACACAGCATATCTTACAATTCTTTGTCCCGTTTTTTTGAATGCTGTAAAATTCCGACACGTGTGAAACGGGAAATGGGAAACAGATTGGTTAGGTCGACCTTGCACGGTTTTTTAAATGCAAAACCTGGAGACAAAGAGGATAGAAAATGAAAGAGATCCAAGTGGAGTCGCAGCGGCAGCTGATCAAGGTTGGTTCCACCAATATCCCAAAACCAGAAGACGGACACAGATGAAAGTAAAGTGTTGGGAGTGAAGGCGTTCAGTAGATGTACCTGTGTACTATAATGACATGTTCAGTAGATGTACCTGTGTAATATGAGGACATGTTCAGTAGATGTACCTGTTTACTATAAGGACATGTTCAGTAGATGTACCGGTGTACTATAAGGACATGTTCAGTAGACGTACCTGTGTACTATAAGGACATGTGCAGTAGATGTACCTGTGTACTATAAGGGCATGTTCAGTAGATGTACCTGTGTACTGTGAGGACATGTTAAGGAGATGTACCTGTGTACTATGAGGACATGTTTAGTAGATGTACCTGTGTACTATAAGTGCATGTTCAGTAGATGTACCTGTGTACTACGAGGACATGTTCAGTAGATGTACCTGTTTACTATAAGGACATGTTCAGTAGATGTCCCTGTGTACTATGAGGACATGTTTAGTGGATGGACCTATGTACTGTAAGCACATGTTCAGTAGATGTACCTGTGTACTGTGAGGACATGTTAAGGAGATGTACCTGTGTACTATGAGGACATGTTTAGTGGATGGACCTATGTACTGTAAGCACATGTTCAGTAGATGTACCTGTGTACTGTGAGGACATGTTCAGTAGATGTACCTGTTTACTATAAGGACATGTTCAGTAGATGTCCATGTGTAATATGAGGACATGTTTAGTAGATGTACCTGGGTACTATAAGGACATGTTCAGTAGATGTAGCTGTGTACTATGAGGACATGTTCAGTAGATGTAGCTGTGTACTATAAGGACATGTTCAGTATATGTACCTGTGTACTATAAGGACATGTACAGTAGATGTACCTGTGTACTATAAGGGCATGTTCAGTAGATGTACCTGTGTACTGTGAGGACATGTTAAGTAGATGTCCCTGTGTACTATGAGGACATGTTTAGTAGATGTACCTGTGTACTATAAGGACATTTTCAGTAGATGTACCTGTGTACTATAAGTACATGTTCAGTAGATGTACCTGTGTACTACGAGGACATGTTCAGTAGATGTACCTGTGCACTATAAGGACATGTTCAGTAGATGTAGCTGTGTACTATGAGGACATGTTCAGTATATGTACCTGTGTACTATGAGGACATGTTTAGTAGATGTACCTGTGTACTATAAGTGCATGTTCAGTAGATGTACCTGTGTACTGTGAGGACATGTTAAGTAGATGTCCCTGTGTACTATGAGGACATGTTTAGTGGATGGACCTATGTACTGTAAGCACATGTTCAGTAGATGTACCTGTGTACTGTGAGGACATGTTAAGGAGATGTACCTGTGTACTATGAGGACATTTTCAGTAGATGTACCTGTGTACTATAAGTACATGTTCAGTAGATGTACCTGTGTACTGTGAGGACATGTTAAGGAGATGTACCTGTGTACTATGAGGACATCTTCAGTAGATGTACCTGTGTACTATAAGTACATGTTCAGTAGATGTACCTGTGTACTGTGAGGACATGTTCAGTAGATGTACCTGTGCACTATAAGGACATGTTCAGTAGATGTACCGGTGTACTATAAGGACATGTTCAGTAGACGTACCTGTGTACTATAAGGACATGTGCAGTAGATGTACCTGTGTACTATAAGGGCATGTTCAGTAGATGTACCTGTGTACTACGAGGACATGTTCAGTAGATGTACCTGTTTACTATAAGGACATGTTCAGTAGATGTGCCTGTGTACTATAAGGACATGTTTAGTAGATGTCCCTGTGTACTTTGAGAAAGTGTTGGGAGTGAAGGCGTTCATTAGATGTACCTGTGTACTTTGAGAAAGTGTTGGGAGTGAAGGCGTTCATTAGATGTACCTGTGTACTTTGAGAAAGTGTTGGGAGTGAAGGCGTTCATTAGATGTACCTGTGTACTTTGAGAAAGCGTTGGGCGTGAAGGCGTTCAGTAGATGTACCTGTGTACGATAAGGACATGTGCAGTAGAGGTGCCTGTGGACTATAAGGACATGTTCAGTAGATGTAGCTGTGTACTATAAGGACATGTTCAGTACATGTACCTGTGTACTATAAGGACATGTTCAGTAGACGTACCTGTGTACTATAAGGACATGTGCAGTAGATGTACCTGTGTACTATGAGGACATTTTCAGTAGATGTACCTGTGTACTATAAGTACATGTTCAGTAGATGTACCTGTGTACTATGAGGACATGTTCACTTTGAAATGCCAGTGCCTATAGACACACACAAACCACCGAATTAAACATAGTATATGTCTGTCAGCGGAATGCTCTCGTTGATCACAGCTGTTGTGCCATATCAGGAGAGATAACTCGTTCTTCCTTTACAAGAACAAAAACATGCTCACACGCGCTATCATTCTGAACACATAACCATCACGTCAGTACTTTATGCAGCGTAACTAGGATCACGTCACCAACTGTCTGTGTTAATTATATATATCTGTAATGCATACTAATTTGCGGGTTGAGTAACACAAGAATTGTAAAAGAACGGAAAGTTTAAATTTGAGTGTATTTTAGTTTCTTTTTATACTAGTGTTTTTATGATTTCCCCAGCAATTCATGGAGTTTGCGCAGACACAACTTAATAATAAATCAACAAACGGTT